TTGGTACCGAAAAACATAACTGTGACATTAACAGTGCCAAGTTCAAACCTTATACCCGAATTGAAATTTTTTCATTGTAATTTTTTTCTCGACAAAAATATTGTTTTAATCTTAGAGGTATTACCGTAGAAACTCGCCTAATAGTCGATCCTACTATAAGTCGGGGGCCCTTTTCAGCTCCAAATTCTAAGGATTTAGTCTTGACCCTCGTATAAGTCGGACAAAATTTGGGCATTTTTTTTTCAGCTGACAGTAACTGAACGCCGGTAAAACCAATGCAAATCCAGGAATAATATTCATTTCTGCATTAATGTTTGTTTGGTTTGAATTTAGTTGATGCTCATCATGATAATTTATATTGCTGTTAATAATAAAGATGTATTCATTTCTCTTGTTTTGTTCACTGTTCAAATGTTAGATTAGCCATGTGTTGTTTACGTAATGCATCAATGATTTTGTAGGGTATAACTAACAACCTATTGTTTGAGAAAAGCGAATATAAACCAATATGAACCTGAAAAATTTGAAGTCAATCAACACTTGATGAAAATATTTTTCACAACATACATAACTCAGTGTTAAATGAGCATGCACACTTCATTATTCTTATTATATTGTGATGATTAAAGGATTAAAAAAATTAAGTGAAGCTAATCAATATATTAAAATAACTAACTCCAACTCATTAGTGTCATCTGTTTACCTATCACTGATAGTTTTCACACCTTTAGTAAATACAACTCTTTGTCTCTTAATTGGGGTTATCAATGGATTATATTGGCTTGTCAATCAATTTTGTAATTTTTGTTTACCTGAGACACTTTAATGAATAATATTTTGATTTTGGGAATGAATCTTAAAATTATTTTTTGATTATTATATGATTTATAAGCATTGAATTGATATCATGATATCACAATAATGACACAATAACTCCGCTGAAAACATCCTTTCACATATTTGGTACATTGTTATCTCCTTTTCATTTTTGGTTCTTGGCTCTTCTTTTGGGTTTATAGGAAAACCATGTGACCATGAAAATCAATACACAAACCGGAAACAGTAGAATTTCAACACGAATTTGCAGAAAATGTTTATCAAAGAACAAATAAAACACAAAGACAGTATTGTAGTCATTTATTTTCAACAAAAACTTTTTATTTATTGATTTATGTAGGTTTGGCAATCAAAAACGTAGTTTTGACCAGGAAATTCACTCCTGACCACTTTTCTCAAGCTTGGATTTTTCCTCTGGTCGCTAGATCTCGTCTATTAGTCGGTCCCCCTCTCTGGATTATGAATTTTACTCCCAATTTTCCGACTAATAAGCGAGTAGGAACGGTATATACTTCATTTTCATTTAAAGGCGATGATTTTGTTTCTGGTTTTACAATCAAAGAAGTAGTTTTACGGTCGTAGCTTATATATCACACTTTATTCAAATTAGAGTCCGTTCAATGTTGACGTGATGTATATTTGGACCTTGATTCTCTAGTGTTTAGAACTAGTGTGTAATAGCCACAATCGTATAAAGATCCATCGGTTCATTATAACGATGTTGAAAATCGACCAATGTTCAAACCTGACATCGTAAATAAACTCTGTTTTAAGATATTTCCATACTGCTATATAACTATAATCAAGAACGTTCAAATGTAGAACATAATCTTCCTTAAAGAATAACGCCCAAAATAAAACAATTTAAATAAATTTGAAAAGAACATGAACAAATCCAGACATAGTATATATATTTTATTAGATAACAAAAGCGAATTATCTCTGAGACATACAGTTTATTGACATGTATTGACAGTTGTGCGCTTTATGAGTGTTATTTAAATATTGATTTATGTCAGCACTCGTGGTATAGTGGTATCATGCATAGACTTAAGACTCTACTGATTATGAAGAAAATACGCGCGAGTTCGAACCCTTCTTATGCCACTCGTTTTTGAGAGGATAAAAAATCGTAAGTTAAAAGTTTAAAGTTATAAAATAAGTTATCTTAAGTTAACGAAGTGGTCAGTGGATTCTTGAAAAATAATCTACTGTAAGAACAATAGACTGACGTCAGAGAAATGGGTTAAAGTCATATAAACCCAAAAATCAGGTTAAGAAAAAAAGTTTAATTCTAGAAATTTTTGGCTCCTCAGAGGTGTACATCCTTAAAGAATAATAATGATTCAAAACATGGACACATGTACCTCAGTCTTTCAAAAATTCATTAAATTAATCTAGAAATAATTAATGAGGCATTGAGTAATGGTCAACTAGTAGGAGACATTAATTAATGTTCCTTACAACTGATCATAAATAAGTGTAACTCTCCCAGGAGATGCATTGAGAGATTAAATGATCTAATATAAAACCATTTTTGTAGAGGCATAACTTTTAAGTTCAAGATACAAAAGATTTCATTAATAAAACACACGAGGTAAAAAGGGAATGCATTATTATTGCCTTTGATGAAACGTAAATGTACACAAATATGATCATTGATAATTTAAAAGAAACAGTTATCAATGCAGAAAAATCAATTGACACAAAAGTATATCCTTTAAAGATTCTCAACAAAAAAGATTCAACTGCATTTGTTTAATTAATTCTAAGAAACAATAAATGTTAGTTTAATGGAAAGTTATGCAAACAAGTTATAGTAGCGCCCCCTCCATAGATGGTATATTTTCACCATCATGCACATATCTGCATCTGTCTGTCCTATTAATAAATATCTTAGATAAGTTCAAATGGAAAGAAAACATCAAATTACACTGTCAATATAGAGATGACGGTTTTATGGTCTTCACGCAAAATAGAGCAAGTAGAAGATTTCTTTAACATAGCGAACAAAATTCCCCTATACTTAAGTTCACATATGAGGTAGTAGTTGGGAGACTTTTGAAAAGGGACCTATGCTTAAAAAGTTAACTTTAAGCAAAAAATCCCAAAACACTGTTATTAATCTGAATTATAGGCAACAAACATAAGTTAGCAAAAAACAGTAAAGTTTTGAGATCTATTACGTATGTTGATTTAAGGAACCGCATTTCATAATAATCGAATTATCCTGCGACTGATATGATTATATAATATTTGGTAAACTATGCTTGCCAATGACAGAACTTTTCAATAAACATGGCGTTGAATATTTAGTCTTAGCAAAGCGAGCTAAATGACATCAAATTGACCAGTGTTGTACAAGATATAAATCAATGGCAATATTTTTATACAAAAAAAACCCCGAAAAACAGACACGATATAATAAGCCAAAAAAAAAATAGGCTCCGGATTTAGACAGGTATATTAAGTATACATGTACATGTATAAGCAGCAAATTGAATGTATAAGCTGGATTCAAATCCATTTCTAAGGTGGAATGGGATTTTACGGCACAAAATAAAATGGAAAGCAAGTAGATTTTGTCTTATTTGGTAGGAATAAAACTTTCACATTTTATGAAACAAAATATCGTACTTGTTCTGAAATATGTTTTTTAAAAAGAAAAATATATAAAATTAAATACCAATTGTTCAGAGAACAATTGAAGGTCTTTCCACCCATAAAGATCAATTTTGATTTAGGACTATGAAAATTCAGGATGAAATATCATATCCAGCGTCAAATGATAACTTATTGTACACTGATCCCAAAAGTATATGGTTTCTATACATTTTTTTCTAAATAAGGGAGATAAATTGTTACTTCCGGTTTGAAATATGTCACTTCCGGTTTTATTTGATAGTTTACTTGATACTGATTCCAAAAATATATTGTTCAATATACTTTTACATTAAAGAAGTACAAAAAATAGCTACTTCCGGTTTACACAAGGTCACTTCCGGCTGGCTTTTCCATAGTCAAGTGGCTTGCCACGTAATGCAAAAAGTCCCATGGCTTTATCATGTATACATATGAGGTAAAAGCAAAGGTCAAAATCTAGAACATCAATTTTACCTATGAACTTGAGCTCAATTTCAAGGTCATAAACCAAGGGCTTCAAATCAAAAGACTATAGGTCTTAATTATATATGGTTAATGAGTTATATCACTATATGCTTAACTTTTAATATAAGAGGGGAGAAAACTCCAATTTAATGTTAGCGTACCGTTTTAAGCAAAATTTATGTGTTACGACATGTCGCAACTTACAATTTAGTAAAAATATGTTGTCGATATATTATACGGTTTTTGAAAAGAATTGAAAATAAGCCAAAATCAAAATTTAAAATATGACCTTGACCTCTGACCTTGACCTAATTTTCTTATTTTTGGATCAAGGACCTCAAATCAAAAGATCCTAGGTCTCTATCACTTATGGTTTACAAGATAGAAATGCATATCACTTATATCAAATGCATAAGGGGAAATAACTCTCATATGGAATATTCATATCGTTTCGGTCAAAATAGGACAAATCATGCAAAGGATATAACAAGCAATTTTATAAAATAAATTTGTCGCTTTCTTTTACGGTTACGGAGTAGATGCAGTCACAAGAAAAACAGTGTTCGGGGAGATAACTCCTACAAAGAAAATTGTTCGGCTTAGAATGGGTGAAAATAAAAAGCGCATAAACTGTATGATACTATATAAGAAATATCTAAGCGACATCTTGCAAAACAAAAATTTTACGCAAGAACAAAATTTGGCAGAAGAAAATAATAATAATAACAAATATAAATCAATTGTTTTAAAAACAATTGTTAAACGGTCTTTCCCCTCCGAAAGATGATTAATTGGTGTTTTGGTTGGTTGGTTGGTTGGTTGGTTGGTTGGTTGGTTGGTCGATTGATTGATAGATTGATTGATTGATTGATTGATTGATTGCATGGCACTTTCTCTGTGCGACGCAGCTAACTTAAATAACGCCTATATTCTGACCCAGCGTGACTGCGTACTTATACATCTCGCACTGCCAAACGGACGCCTGAGATGTCCTCATAAAAATTGATCCTAGCATCATTCGTTTATAAATTTTATCTAGTTTCTATGTTACCTCAATTTTTCATCTATTTGTTGTGTATGCATTTTGATTGAATTTGTAGGAAAACGGAGTAAATTTTATCTTGGAAGTTTTATCTTCCTTATTTGGATATGCAATGTTTTATTCTAAATTTAGATCCGCGCGCGAGATGGTGTTGTGAAGTCATGTGACCCTCGAATATATATGTCTGGAGTTAGAATATTAATTTCTTTTCAGGGGAGACTGTTGAACAGAGCACATGTGTATTGATCAAAGAAACACGATAACTATTGTTTTTATTTTGTACAGGTCATTGATGTCGGATCATGCATACATATTATGTACACATGTTTACGGGAGCACAGATTTGTATTTTAATGCATGTTTAGAAATTTGATTGTAGGATTTCAGTAATACATTGATTTTAATTTCGCAATCAAGCGGACCGCACGTGTCTCATCGATTAATTTCAGAAAATACATGAATTGGAGCAGATTTTTGCAGGGATGGATTTCTATTTCAGAAAGAAATTTGTACATAAGAAGGATTAGTATTTTACAGTATAATGTATGGGACTAAAAGCGATCTTCTTTTCTTTGAAATGGGATAACTTAAAAAAAAAATCAGTTGAAAAAAAAAGGGGGGGGGGGGTGGAGTCTAGTGGTAGACTGTGGTTCATTATTGAGATAAGAAACATTTACAACATGATAGCTGCAAAGTTTGAAGTTTTGATAAGTAATTTGTTGATTCGACCATAACAGGGACATTGACCCTGCAATAAAATGATGCGTACCATTTCGACAAAAAATTTCTAGTAAACACGTGTCGCGACAAACTTTTTGGTTAAATTGTTTTGTCGATATCTATAACTCTTTCTAGGAAGAAGCGATATGAACTTAATGTAAAAAATCACAACATGACCTTGACCTTTGACCTTGACCTAGTTTTCTATTCTTTAGGACCAAGGACCTCAAATCAACAGACCCTCGGTCTCTATCACTTATGGTTTACCAGTTACAAATGCATATCACTTATTTCAAATGCATTAGGGGAAATAACTCTCATATGGAGTCTTCGTATCGCTTCCGTCAAATTTGGACAAAAAATCCTGAGGATAGCGAGCCATTTGGTAAAATAAATTTGTCCCTTTCTTTTACGGTTACGGAGGAGATGCAGTCACAAGGAAAACAGTGTTCAGGGAGATAACTCCTACAAAGAAAATTGTTCGGCTTAGAATGGGTGAAAATAAAAAGCGCATAAACTGTATGATACTATATAAGAAATATCTAAGCGTCATCTTGCGAAACAAAAATTTTACGCAAGAACAAAATTAGGCGGAAGAAAAAAAAAATAATAATAATAATAATTAAAAACCAATTGTTCAAAGAACAATTGAAGGTCTTTCCACATCAATTTTCTAAATAATTGATGAGAAGCTAATTCTGGTTTACTCAAAGCTACTATTGGCGTCCAATCATAGGTTTCTTCATACTGATTCAATAAACATATGGTTTCTATAGACTTTTGCCTGAAATAAGGGAGATAATTGTCAACTTCCGGTTTAGAAAATAACACTTCCGGTCTCATATGATAGGTTTAATTACACTGATTCCAAAAATATATGGTTTATATATACTTTTGCCTGTAAAAAGGAAGATAATTGGCTAATTCTGGTTTGGAAAATGTCACTTCCGGTCTCATATGATATATTTATTTACACTGATTCCAAAAATATATGGTTTATATATACTTTTGCCTGTAAAAAGGGAGATAATTGGCTACTTCCGGTTTAGAAAATGTCACTTTCGGTCTCATTTGATAGCTTTATTTACACTGATTCCAAAAATATATGGTTTATATATACTTATGCCTATAACAAGGGAGATAATATGCTACTTCCGGTTTATAAAATATCACTTCCGGTCTCAAATGATAGATTAATGTATGACCATTCAAAAAATATATGGTTTCTATGTACTTCTACATGAAATAAGTGCAAAAATGACTACTCCCGGTTCACTCAAGGTCACTTCCGATTGACATTTTTCAAGGTCATATGTCACCCAACATTTTGCAAAAGATCTTATGGCTTTATCATGTACCAATATGAAGTAATAATCAATTTACCTTAAAATAAAACATTTCAGGGGCAATAACTCCAATAAGATGTCGCTGGATTGTCTCAGACCAAATGTATTATATCTTCATCACAATATAACAAACATTTTGCACTTGTTCTTTAATATATAACATTAAAAATATCGGAGAAAATGCAAAAACAAGCAAAAGACAAAATTCAGAACATGACCTTGACCTTTGACCTTGACCTCATTTTCGAAGTTAGGATCCAAGGACCTTAAATAAAAAGACTATAGGTTTATACGGCTTACAGTTTATGAGTAACAAAAACATAACGACAAATTTATTTGATAAAGGTAGATAACTCCTATAAAATTTCATCGAATTGCTTTGATCCAAATTAGCCAAAAATTCCTGAGGATGTAACGAACAATTTAGAAAAAGAATTTTGTCGATATCTTTTTTTGTTACGAAGGAGATGCACACACTTGATAAACAGTGAATAGGGAGATAACTCTTACAAAGATAATTGTTCGGCTTAGCAGGGTAAAATTTAAAAGCGCATAAACTATACGATACAATATGAGAAATATCTAAGCGACATATTGCGAAACAAATATTTATCGCAAGAACAAAATTTGGCGGAAGAAAAAAAAAAAAATAATAATAATAATAATAATAATAATAATCAGAACAAATACAAAAGGTCTTTCCACCGAAAAGTGGAAAGACCTAATTAAATACCAATTGTTCGGAGAACAATTGCAGGTCTTTTTCACCAAAAACCATGTATTTAATATGAAAGTAGTAAAATTAGGTTTAAAATGTCATTACAATCGTCAAATGATAGCTTATTGTACGTTGATTCCAAAAATATATGGTTTCTATACAATATTTTTTTAAATTAGGGAGATAGTTTGTTACTTCCGGTTTGAAAAATGTTACTTCCGATACTATTTGAACATTTACTTGACACTGAATCCAAAAATATCTGGTTCTATATACTTTTAAATTAATAAAGTACAAAAAATAGCTACTTCCGGTTTAAACAAGGTCACTTCCGGTTTATTTTTCAAGGTTAAATGGTTTGAAACCTATTGCACAAAGTCTCATGGCTTTATCATGTATACATATGAGGTAAAAGCAAAGGTCAAAATCTAGAATGTCAAATTAAGCTATGACCTTGAGATTAATTTCAAGGTCATAAACCAAGGACCTCAAATCAAAAGACCATAGGTCCTAATTATATTTGGTTAATGAGTTATATCACCATACGCATATTTTTACATACAGGAGGGGAGAAAACTCCCTTTTACGTTCAACGAACCCTTGCAATCAAAATTTACATGTTACGATATGTCGCAACAAAATTTAGTAAAAATAATTTGTCGATATCTTATACGGTTTTTGCAAATAAGTGAAAATAAGCCAAAATCAAAATTTTGAATATGACCTTGACCTTTGACCTTGACCTAATTTTCATTTTTTTTTGGACCAAGGACCTCAAATCAACAGACCCTAGGTCTCTATCATTTATGGTTTACCAGTTACAAATGCATATCACTTATTTCAAATGCATAAGGGGAAATAACTCTCATATGGAATATTCATATCGCTTCTGTCAAAATAGGACAAATCATGCAAAGGATATAACGAGCAATTTTATAAAATAAATTTGTCGCTTTCTTTTACGGTTACGGAGGAGATGCAGTCACAAGTAAAACAGTGTTCGGGGAGATAACTCCTACAAAGAAAATTGTTCGGCTTAGAATGGGTGAAAATAAAAAGCGCATCAACTGTGTGATACTATATAAGAAATATCTAAGCGACATCTTGCGAAACAAAAATTTTACGCGAGAACAAAATTAGGCGGAAGAAAATAATAATAATCAGAACAAATACAATAGGTCTTTCCACAGAAAAGTGGAAAGACCTAATAATAATCAGAACAAATGCAATAGGTCTTTCCACAGAAAAGTGGAAAGACCTAATAAATAGAGAGAAGAGGAAAGAAAAGGGGTGGGTGTATGCCAGTTAGACATTTTATGATATTTATAGTAAATTAGAATGGTTAAAAGTGAACATTTACAATATAAATCAATTGTTTTTAAAACAATTGTTAACGGTCTTTCCTCTCAGAAACATGATTGATAAATTAATTAATTGATTGGTTGGTTGGTTGGTTGGTTGGCCGGCTGTTTGGTTGGCTGATATAGTAATAAAACACATGGGATAGGGTCTCTTGGAACAAGCGAAAAAGAAACAAATGAGATCTTGGGCCCGTATTGAACAGATTGATTGATTGGTTGTTTGGTTAAATAAATAAATAAATTTTACGCGAGAACAAAATTAGGCGGAAGAAAAAAATAATAATAATAATTAAAAACCAATTGTTCAGAGAACAATTGAAGGTCTTTCCACATCAATGTTCTAAATTATTGATGAGAAGCTACATCCAGTTTACTCAAAATTACTATTGGCGTCCAAGCTTTGGTTTCTTCATACTGATTCAATTTATATATGGTTTCTACCGTATATACTTTTGCCTGAAATAAGGGATATAATTGCCAACTTCCGGTTTAGAAAATGTCACTTCCGGTCTCATATGATAGCTTTATTTATATTGATTCCAAAAATATATAGTTTATATATACTTTTGCATGTAAAAAGGGAGATAATTAGCTACTTCCGGTCTCATATGATAGCTTTATTCACACTGATTCCAAAAATATATAGTTTGTATATACTTATGCCTCTAATAAGGAAGATAATATGCTACTTCCGGTTTATAAAATGTTACTTTCGGTCTCAAAAGATAGGTTAACCTATGGTCATTCAAAAAATATATGGTTTCTAGGTACTTTTCCATGAAATAAGTGCAAAAAATACTACTTCTGGTTCACTCAAGGTCGCTTCCGGTTGACATTTTTCAAGGTCATATGTCAACCAACAGTTTGCAAAAGACCCTATGGTTTTATCATGTAACAAGTTGGAGTAATAATCAATTAACCTAACTCCTATAAGATGTCATTGGATTGTTTCAGACCAAATGTATCATATCTTAATCACAATTAGGCAAACATTTTGCACTTGTTCTTTAATTTGTATTTTTAAAAGTGACAGAGGAGATCAAATAACAAGGAAAAGTCAAAATTTAGAATATGACCTTGACCTTTGAACTTGGCCTCAATTTCATTTAAATGAACCAAGGAACTCAAATCAATATACCTTAGGTCTCTATTACTTACCATTCATGCTATACATTAATATATATCCCTTATGTCAAATACAGAAGGGGAAATAACTCTCATATGGAGTTTACGTATGGCCTCGGTCAAAATTGGACAAAACATCCTGAGGATATAACGAGCAATTTGGTAAAATAAATTTGTCGCTTTCTTAAATTACGGTTACAGAGGAGATGCAGTAACAAGGAAAACAGTGTTCAGGGAGATAACTCCTACAAAGAAAATTGTTCGGCTTAGAATGGGTGAAAATAAAAAGCGCATAAACTGTATGATATTATATAAGAAATATCTAAGCGACATCTTGCGAAACAAAAATTTTACGTGAGAACAAAATTAGGCGGAAGAAAAAAATAATAATAATCAGAACGAATACAATAGGTCTTTCCACAGAAAAGGGGAAAGACCTAATAATCAGAACAAATACAATAGGTCTTTCCACAGAAAAGTGGAAAGACCTAATAATAATAATCAGAACAAATACAATAGGTCTTTCCACAGAAAAGTGGAAAGACCTAATAAATGGAGAGAAGAGGAAAGAAAAGAGGTGGGTGTTTGCCAGTGAGACATTTTATGATATATATGGTAAATTAGAATGGTTAAAAGTGCACATTTACAATATAAATCAATTGTTTTAAAAACAATTGTTAAACGGTCTTTCCCCTCCGAAACATGATTGGTTGGTTGGTTGGTTGGTTGGTTGGTCGATTGATTGATTGATTGATTGATTGATTGATTGATTGATTGATTGATTGAAAGTTTGCATGACACTCTCTCTATGCGAGGCATCGGACTTGACGTTCATATTCTGACGAGGCTGCGTACTTGTATATCCCGCACTCCCAAACGGACAGCTTCAGGATTTCCTAATAAATAAAAATCCTAACATCTTCTTTTTTTTCTTATTTTCTCTATTTGCTACGAGAACTGATACTTCATGGTTTCTTTTATGTGTTGTGTGTACATTTTGTTTCAACTTGTAGGAAGAAAAAAAATGAGTAACATTTTGTCTTGGAAGTTTCACTTTCCATATTTGGATATGGATCTCGAATGTTTTATTCTAATTTTAGGTCCGCGCGCGTGATGATGTTTTGAAGTCACGTGACGCTCGAATATATATGTCTGGAGTTAGAATATTAATTTCTTTTCAGGGGAGACCGTTGAACAGAGCACATGTGTACTGATCGGACAAACATGACCACTATTGGTTTTATTATTTACAGGTCATTGATGACGGATCATGCATGCATCTTACGTTCACATGTTTACGGGAGCACAGTTTTGTATTTTAATGCATGATTAAAAAATTTGATTGTAGGATTTCAGCAATATTTACGATTTTTCTACGTCATTGAATTTTATTTCTCAAACAAGCGGACCGCGTCTAACGGGAACATGAATTGGAGCCGATTTTTTGCAGGAATGACTTTCTATTTAAGAAGTTTGTACATCAGAAGGATTGCATTTTTACAGTAAAATGTACAGGACTGAACTTCAAGGCGAAATGGGATTCTTCAAAGTAGAAGAAAAAAAAAATTTGGGGGGGGGGGGGGTGAGATGGAGGATGGTGGACCTTGGTTGATAAATTAAGATAAGATGCATGTATACATCATGATAGCTGCAAAGTTTGAGGCTATAATTAGTTCATTTTGTTCATTTTGCTATTTCAGTGGCATGGAACCCCTAAAACAATGACGCGTACCATTTTGACAAAAACTTTCCAGTTATATCATGTCCCGACTAACATTTTGGTCAAATTTTTTTTATACGGCTTACGGTTTACGTGTTACAAAAACATAACGACAAATTAATTTGGTAAAGGCAGATAACTCCTTTAAGATCTCACTGGATCGCTTCGATCCAAATTAGGCAAAAATTCCTGAGGATGTAACAAATAATTTAGAAAAAGAATTTTGTCGATATCTTTATTTGTTACGAAGGAGATGCAATAACAAGGAAAACAGTGTTCAGGGAGATAACTCCTACAAAGAAAATTGTTCGGCTTAGAATGGGTGAAAATAAAAAGCGCATAAACTGTATGATACTATATAAGAAATATCTAAGCGACATCTTGCGAAACAAAAATTTTACGCGAGAACAAAATAAGGCGGAAGAAAAAAATAATAATAATAATAATAATAATAATAATCAGAACAAATACAATAGGTCTTTCCACAGAAAAGTGGAAAGACCTAATAATAATAATCAGAACAAATACAATAGGTCTTTCCACAGAAAAGTGGAAAGACCTAATAATAATCAGAACAAATACAATAGGTCTTTCCACAGAAAAGTGGAAAGACCTAATAATCAGAACAAATACAATAGGTCTTTCCACAGAAAAGTGGAAAGACCTAATTACTGAGGAATTCTAGTTGAAATATTACCTCTACCAATAAACACCCTAGAAGTGTCATTCATTGGTAGTAGTTTGACCTTTCACACTGGTAAAAATGAAAGCTGACACCTTCCAGAAATGAACTATTGAAATTAAAACATTCCATGTCTGCCTACTTTATATTTAACACCACTCTCAACATGCCATAATTGTCCTGATTTACAATAAAAAGAAAATATTATCCTCCACACACATGGTAATGAAAATACTGAGATATAATTTACAATTCAGTTGAAATAATAATTAGCATAAAAAAGTTCTAAGGTTAACGTATTGCCTTTTTTAAAAAAAAAAAGCAAATTGTTAGAACTCATTATGTAGAAACCAAGTTTCAAGTTTTTATTAAATCAGGAAAATCAATACAAAGTATAATGATGTCTTCCCCCACATTAACATGATATTACATCAGATAGATAAATATATATTATGTATGACAAAATATCAAATCAAGGTTAAATGAATAAAATTCCAAAGATTCAAAGCATAATTGTATGTAATGGCATATATTTTTTGTATCATCAATATTTTGTGGGTTAAGTAAACTAATAATGGTTTTCATAACTTTTTCAGGGCACAGATCTTGTGAATTAATATTTAGTTTATTAAATAGTTGTTTTCTATAATTTTCATTTTTTTTGCAATAAATAAGGAAATGTTTTTCATCCTCTATTTGATTGCAGTTCAAGCATATTCTGTTTTCTCTCTTAATTTTTGGTCTGAAATATCTACCCTTTTCAATCAAAAGAGGGTGGGAACTAATTCTTAATTTTGTAAGATTTCTTGTTATATTAGGAGAACATTTATACGATAGATAATTTTGCAATTTAAATTCTTCTGAATAAATATTGGCATAGAAATGTAATTTATTGTCTTGTTCAATAGAACGTAATTTTTTTAGATTATGCAAAGTGTTATTAGAATGTTGGTTATTAATATTTTCCTTTAAGTTCTTTAAATTAAGATTATTGTCTGTTAAATTATATTTTTCAATAGAGTTCGAGATAAATTTGTGCCAAGATCTGTGTCCATCAGTATATAATGAATGATCTAATTTATATATTTCACTAAGCAGTCTGTCAGATGGAAGCTGTTTAAGTCCATCATAATATCTAAGGGCTAGGATTAGTATATGATTCAAAGTAGGTTATCTTCCTAATTCACACTTCACTGCCATATTTGAACTTCTCTTGTGAACTAAAATATTTTTACAGAATTCAAAAGGTAATTTATCAATATTTGAGTCTTTTATATTGTAGTCACTAATCCATATTTCAGATCCATAAGCATGATAAGTACTTATGGGTCTTATTAGAGTATCAAATAGTTTTAATTTTAGTTTATGATCTATAGTATTGAATCCAAATGTCTTAGAATGCAGAGAAAAAAGTGCTTTTAAGCTTTGTTTGTATAAGTGTTCTGCAGCATGTTTAAAATTTCCATTAACGTAAATGATAATACCCAGATATTTATATTTCTCAACAATTTCAATTTCTTTGTTATAATAAAAAAACTTCAATTTTTTGAAATCTTTTTTACCTTTACTGAAGATCATAATTTTTGTTTTATTTAAATTGACATTCAGCTTTCATCTATCACAGTATGTTTTTAGAGAATTTAAACAGGATTGAAGACCTTCTTTGCTTTCAGATAGTAATAGTAAATCATCAGCATATAATAAGCAATTCATTCTAGTATCTATAAGCTGCACCGGAAAACATGAATCTTGGGGGAAAATTGAATCAATGTCATTGACATATATATTAAATAAGAGGGGGCTTAAGCCATCACTTTGTCGCACACCTTTTCCTAATTTAGATGGCTCAGTAATAGTGTTATCTTTTTTTACAACAAATTTTGCATTATTATACATATGGTGAAGTAATTGGAAAAAATGTCCTTTGACTCCCAGTTTTAAAAGTTTTTCAAATAACCCATCATGCCAAATTGAATCAAATGCCTTGGAAAAGTCTACAAAACAGGCATATATCTGTTTTTTGTGTTTAAAGATATATTTGTTCAGTATTGTCTTTATTGTAAATATATGATCAGTTGTACGGTAATCTGGTCTGAATCCGGCTTGAAATTTGTTATATAGATTATGATCATCTAGGTATCCATTAAGTCTAGTTTGTAATAAAGAAGTGAAAAGTTTTCCGAAGCAGCTTGTAAGACCTAGGCATCTGTAATTATCACAACAATTGATATCACCATTCTTATGTATAAATGTGGTACATGAGATATTCCAGCAATCTGGAAATACACCCGATGATAAAATCCTATTAAATAAATTGACAAAGGAAGGTAATAACTTATTTTTATCATATTTTATAAATTCGTAAGGAATCATATCAATGCCTGGTTGTTTATTGTTTTTTAACTTATGAATACCTTTACGGACTTCTCCACAAGTAAAAGGAAAATCTAGAGGGCCTGTATCTGAGAAATCTTGAGCTGTAGGTATAAAATTGGGGTTTTCATCTTTATTTGCTGCATATAAATCATTCATATATTTGTGCTAATCAGAGATACTAATTGGATTAGTTTTTACAGTTTTATTTTTTAATTTGTCAATAGTTTCCCAAAATAGTTTGGGATTATTTTCATGTAGAGTATCAAGTTTTGTAACTAAATCATTGACAAACTTTTGTCTTGCTAATTTCAAAGATTTGTTATATTCTTTGGGAAGTCTATGAAAATTACTTCGTATATGTGCATTATTTGGATACTGTTGCATTTTCTTGCCTAAACTCGCGAAGTTCTTTTTTCATAATGAAGCAATTACCATTATACCAGTCATGCTTCTTTTTCTTTTTCTTCTTTTTGAATAATTTGAAATTAAATGATTTCTTTGCAGCTTTAATCATGATATTAGTTAAATGTTCAGTTAGAGTATTAATATCTTTTTCTGGATCATTGACTTGGAGGAGAAATGATTCAATATCTTTCTCTTCATCATTTTCTAGCAGAGATATGTATTCATTTTTTCCATTTTCTACACAAAATTTTCCTGGGATTTGAAAAGTAAAATTGTAATCTTGTTTGGAGTTATTGTTTAGATTATTTAAAGTTTTCAGACTAAACCATACAATGCAATGATCTGATAGTTCATTAGGGGGAAGTACATGGAGAAAAGGAAAACTATTTACAATGTCTTCACTGACAATAACATAATCTATATTACTTCTACCATTTGGACAAAAATAGGTAAAAATAGGGAGTCGCCCATCGCTCTGCCATAAGGAATTCTCATTTTTGACTCAATACAAAGATCAATAATATTTTTGCCTTGTTCATTTACAGTTGTATCCATGTTTTGTCTTATGGTTAATGGGTCATCTACAGAGTAGTTTGTTAGAAGATAATTATTATCTATATGTGAAATGTGGTCTAGTTCGATATAATCAAACAAATCTCCAGTCCGGGCATTAAAATCTCCCATTAAAATAACTTTCCCTTTTTGGGAGTAGTTGTCTATAGAGTTTTTAAGATTTTCAAATAATGAATCATGATCAGGGGAAACTGAAGCCATTCTTGGTTTAATATAAAAAGTGCAAATGTAAATGTCATGGGGTAAACCCAGTTGTGTTTTATTTAATTTTATCCATATATAGTCTTTAGTAGATACAACTTTATTTATGATATTTAAAGTTGAAAATTCTTTTTTATAATATACTATAATTCCGCCTGATCGTCTACCTCTCTTACCCTTAGCTTTAGTTGCATGAACTGTAATATGTGAGTAGCCAGGCAGAGAAATGTTTGACTCCCAAGATGTCCAAGATTCTACAATACTAAAGATATCATATTTGTTATCTGCTGCAATATCATTTAATTTGTCAATATGAAACCCATTGATATTCCAGCAGGCTAGATTTAGCATAATGATAATTATATATGTAAGTGAAAAAATACAGGTATATACACTCAATAAACTCAGACTTCAAATACATGTTTGGTCAAATAATTGGATTATATACACAAGATCTTCATCTATAAACTACAGTGTTGCTAACAAGTTATATATTCAAAAGCCTCATAATTAGTTCACGGTCTCTGAACCAGTTGGGTTGACTTGATTCTGGAGGGAATAGTGGTCTTTGCTCACGAAAAGCATTTGCATTTGGACGATCATAAAATGATTGTTCGAAG